GCAAGCCACGTTATTTCAAGCGCACAAGCTCTGCAGTGTGGAATTCCCCACCTTTCCAAGGGGGCAAAACTCTGTCTTCTGCCTTCAAGAGGTTTTAATGCCTGTCTAATATGTGTCTGGTTATGGTTTTCAAAGGAGAAAATGAGTTGCTTTTTTAATAATGTTGTACACTCTTTTATCCATATTAATAAAGTTATAATGAAGTTGCTGTCTTTGCTCACAGTGCCGAAGTGACCTGCTAGGATTGGTAACAATATTAGAATCACCCTATGGTTACGTATGGCAGCTATTGGAAACCTTTGTGCAGAGTAAGGGAGGGGGAAGAGAGAGAGCGGGGATGATAGATATGGGAGCAGGGGGACAAAAGGTCCCCCTCAATGGCTCCTTGTCAGAAAAACGCTTCAGGGCAAAGTCCCAGGATTGCTGACAGGGCGGGAAAGAGGAGCGCATGGGAGAGGGAAGGAAGAGGGCAGGAGTGATGGGCATGGGAGTAGGGAGGGAAAAGACACCCCCCCCCCCCAATGGCTCTGTCAGACAAATGGTTTGATGTCTATAAATGCCTGGGCAACGCCAGGTCATCAGCTAGTACATAATAAAATAGTAAATTTTCCAGTACCTTGACTCTGGTTAGAATTTTCAGCTGAGAAAAAACATGAAAAGAAACCTGGGTAATACATCCTAGCAGCTGGAGTAAACACAATCTTACAACCTTGTTCAAAAATGTGCCTGCTACAATGAAGATAAAGCCTAGCTTGAACCTGCATTATTGTCCATTGCTGTATTTAGTATGGCTTCTCACTTTCTTCACTAGTGGATTGCAGTCTTGATTAGGACAAAAAATCTAGATGAACTCAATTGATATTCCCATCTATTGTGCATAGCACTACTGTAGATTAATTACCTGACTTCTAAAACTGCCCATTCTACAAAAACAGATCAAACTCAAACGTGAAAGGAATTGAGTTGAAAAAGAAACCCTAAATCAGATCTATTAACCTGATCTAGGGAGTAGCAAAATTCCACAGTCTAGAGACAATGATAAGAGCCAAGTCTTAAGTACTTTGCCCCAAGGCAGTAAGTTTGGGATATACAAACTTTGGAGGATTCCCAATAGTAGTACCTCACTTAAATAACTTGAGATTCCATTCTATTATGTAGTAGGCTGGGTATACCTTTCTAATTTTGTATTGGAGAAAGGTGTGGGGGAAACTGGAGTAGTTGGTCAGGTTTATGTGCATGCTCTTTGGTGCAGCAGTGCTCAGTCCATGATGGAGAAAATGCTGAGTCCCTCAGTGATCGTGTTCCTTCAATCCACAAGAGCAATTTCAGAACTAAGTGTACCAATGGCAGGCATTTGTCCCTCATTAATAAATGAAACAAAATGCAGAAATGCTAGGCAATCAATTTAATAAAACAGGAACTATTCAAGACCCAGCCAGCATGAAACAATAGCAGCACACATAGATTCCATAAATGAATTGATTTATTTCTGATTTGCATTAGCTTGTTGCAAAAGCCAGAATTCTGCAAAAGGTTCAGCATGAAGCCAGCACTGCTTTCTGTAATGAAGATTATGCAGGATATTGAAGGGAAAAGAAAGAGGAAGTTAACTAATCCCAGGTGTGTTTTAGAAGCAGATGCTACTAGGTTCCATAGGGCTCATGCCTTATATAAGCATTGGCTGTGTGAGGATTAGGTTTTTTTTTTTAAAAAAAAAATTGTTCAGCCCCTGCCCTAGAGCCTTTAGGGATAGGTGGCATACAAGTATAGTAAGTATGTAGGTAAGCAAGTAAATGATTTCTATGTAAATCATAAAAATCTCTACATTTGCCTACTCCAAAATAAACCTGTTTGGCTTCAACCTGATTTACCTAGCCTGATCTCAGAATTTAAGCAGTGTCAGTCGTAGTATTTGGAAGGGGTGGGGATAAACCATTGGGGAATTCAAAAGGCATTGGCTAGATTGATAAATCACAAAAAAATCCAAAATGAAACTAGCTAGTCACTTCTGTAGCACTGCTAAGAAAACTGACTATGCTATAACTAGCGCAGTGCTAGCACTTCTTAAGTATGCAACTGTATATCTAATAAAAGCTTTGAGGTATCTGACACAACATCTGACACAGCCAAGGAAGATGGAAAAGGAGTTGGAGGTAAAAAAAAAATACAATGGATAATTTTAAAGTTCTGAATAAATTATATATATAATTCAATAAATAAATATCACTTTGCTTAGGAAAAAAAGTTATAGAAATTCTGCAACTTGTTGTAGAGGTCTAGTTTGAAAAAAATGCAATTACCACCAATTTAAGTAGCGCTTCGTTTTCCTGCAGTGGATAAGCATCAATTAACTCTTTTATGTTCTTTACAACCTTTGTTTCCAAATTTGATGGATAATAAAGCTGCAGCTTTTGAAGCAGATCTGTCTGTGATCCTCCATACAGTAACAATGAGAACTTTTCAACTGAGCTGCACAGCTTATGAGCTAAGAAGATAAAATGAAAAGGAGATTAAAAGAAATAGGTGTATATATATATNATTGTTGGACAGAGTTTATTTGGAAATGTGGATGAATAAGTTATGTGGGTTACTCTTCTGTGAAACAGTGGGAAACTACTACCATATATTCTCTAGTAAGCGGTTCTCAACGACCCTTTCACAGGGGTCGCCTAAGACCATCGGAAAACACATATTTTCGATAGTCTTAGGAACCAAGACACTGCTCCTCTATAGTTGGGGGTCACCACAACAAGAGGAACTGTATTAAAGGGTCACGGCATTGGGAAGGTTGAGAACCACTGCTCTAGTATGTGCTGCAACTCTTTTAGTAGTTCCAGGATCCAGTTCCAGTGACTTGATTTTGCTGCTCACATTCTTTTTTCTAGAACTCACCTAACTGTGATTCATATCCAATGACACCTCAAGGCCCCAAACAACCCAAGATTGATCTAAATAATTATGGAATGGATTTGAACAGTGATGATTCAACAGATGATGAGAGTCAGCCCCGCAAAACCATCCCTACTTGGGCTTCTGGTACGTTGAAACCCATTTGTGTTTCTTTGAGTCACATTATAGCTAAGCACTCCCTTAGATCTCCTTAATCCAGTGTTCTGCAGATGTATGGAAAGTGCAGCTTCTAGAATTGCTAAGAATTCAGAGAGACAAAATAGTAACATGCAAGGAGGATGCTAGGTTGTGAAAGCCTTCCCAGGATTTTATGGCAATGTAGCATAGAGTATGGTAGTTCACCTTAACATGCTTTTAAAAATTGGCAGACAGGTTTACAGAAAACATCTTTATCCTGCATCATTAGCCTTGAGTGCTAAACAGAACATCTGTACTCAGAAGCTGTGTAAGGAGCCAATAGTACTTTGAAAGAGTGAGTGAGGTGCTGGGCTAGTTTTTACCCAGTGTAACTATTTCGGTAGTCTAATAAGATATTCAAGCATCTTCTAAACATGCTTGCTTAAAAACAAACCAGAGCTTAATGCAACATGGAATTGTATTTCTTCTAAAGATCTGGGCTCCTAAAAAGGTGGAAATGCTGTGTAATGTGATAGTATTCATGATGTATCTGAAGACTTGACATAGTCTTTTAAATGGTGGTTTATCAGTTTGGTCTTTATGTATATTTTGTGAATATACTTTAAAAAGGTGATTATAAAGCAGAATTTCTATTTCCTGCTGGTTTGACAATGGTGACTTTTTAATTTTTAATATAGAGAAAATAGTTTACAGAAATAGCATAAATACATTTCAAATAATTTACAGTTACAGTTGTATATAGGATGTTCATCTCTCTTATGGGCCAAATCTTTTAAGTATATTTAAATATAAATATAATCAAATCAAATTTTGACAGGCAGATTTCACCACTTCTAGCCAGAATCTATAATGATTTAAAAATATTTCAGGAAAGAAATGCTTTGCTAACAAAATCAAGATCAATTCTAATTTCAGTCTTGCTTTTTTTCCATTTTGTGTTCATAATTGTTGCTACTGTCTTTTGTGTGAATTGGAATTATGAGGGGGAAAAACCATTTCCTTTGAGATTGGGGAAAATGTATCCTTTCTTCCTTGGGAATCCTTGCTGTCCATTTTAAGAACTGAAACCTCACAATACAAGCTACCAATGGCAGTCAATATGTCTATTCTTCCCTCCCTTAGGAAGTCAACTAAGCCAAGCAATCTTGCATCAATATTTTAACCCACCAGACACCAAAGCACTCTTTGGAGTGGTGAAGAGTCCCAAGTTGGAAGAAATCTTTGATAAGAGCAAGCCACGTTATTTCAAGCGCACAAGCTCTGCAGTGTGGAATTCCCCACCTTTCCAAGGGGGCAAAACTCTGTCTTCTGCCTTCAAGAGGTTTTAATGCCTGTCTAATATGTGTCTGGTTATGGTTTTCAAAGGAGAAAATGAGTTGCTTTTTTAATAATGTTGTACACTCTTTTATCCATATTAATAAAGTTATAATGAAGTTGCTGTCTTTGCTCACAGTGCCGAAGTGACCTGCTAGGATTGGTAACAATATTAGAATCACCCTATGGTTACGTATGGCAGCTATTGGAAACCTTTGTGCAGAGTAAGGGAGGGGGAAGAGAGAGAGCNACAATACAGCAGAATGATCTCTACATTATATTTCTGTTTATGCACTTCAAGTTTAAACCTGGACAAGAGAAATGCTAAGAAACACAGTTGTAATGAAAGCGCAGGAGAGTTGTCAGAACATGAAGGGAGTCTCTTCTCTTCTCTTCTATTCGTAGCAATAATATCATAAATTATAATCTGGGATTTGAGAATGGTTGAAGGCAGTAGTCTTGAGAAATAGCTAAACTCTTATTTTCTTCTTCAGAGGTGTTATATATCTGATTTGTTATTTGGTATAATATAATATGTCTTGGATCAATTCTCCCCAAATTAGAATAAACTTTTTTTTTATGATTCAGTCATTCTGTGTTCCTATTTTAAAAACGCTTTATAATTCAGCTTTAAGTCATTTCATGCTTTTTCAGAAACATGCAGTTGTATAATCCCTTTTTTTTTTAATTAACAGGTTGCTTATTTTGTTCTGCAACCCTGCAGGAAAGATGATAAATATTTTTGCATGAAGGAACATTTGAAAAAGGACTCTCTGTCATCTGAGTGCACATGTTTTTCCCTCTGGGATAGTAATTATTGCCTAAGCAGAAAATAGCTAATTTAATTCAAAATCCTGCTTGCCTTCCCTAGCCAATCAAATTGCATTTCTGGTGGGCTATAACTCATGCGACTCAGGCTGCTGAAAAGAGATATGTGCTTCCATTACAGGGTGAATAAATGTAATATTTCATGTTAGTCCCAAAGAGAAAAATAGCAGGAAAAAAGGGTTGGTGTTATTATTACACTGAACTTTCTCAAAGCAGGGAAATGATTTCAAAGCATTTGCAGAAATCATTTTTAAAACCAGGAAAGGAGATTTACTACTGGTGGGGCAGAAAATTCCAATTATTCTGTCAAAGAAGAGCATGAAAGAAAGAATTCCAGTTCAGAGCAGGGTGATATATATACACCTCTTCTTTAACATTAGTTCTTTATTCTTTGTTGACAGAAGTTGTATAAACAATCCCCACCTTTGGCACCATTCTTCCATCTCAGCATCTCTGATATTCTTGCATTTGATATGTTGTGAAGTGAGAGTGCCCACAACAGAGCTATTATGCAGAGGGAAGGAGGGAGGGAGGGAGGGAGGAAAGGAAGGAAGGAAGGAAGGAAGGAAGGAAGGAAGGAAGGAAGGAAGGAAGGAAGGAA